TCCATACGGTTTCGTAGATGAATAACCTTTCTCTCGCTCGAACTTTCTCTCTCGTTTTAAGTTAGCAACGTTGTCGAATTTTCCGTCCATTAGTATAATTAGGTAAAAATGTAAAGTTATAATGGGAGATTTTGAGAAATATGAATATTGTTTTTGTAAATATTTTATTGTTTTGTACATCTTTTTGGTATTAGAATTGTTCTTCAATTTTATAATGTAAAATATAAATATTTTTTACCATATAAAATTGTATTGTATTCGAGGCTTTTAAATAAAAAAACTTTAAAAGCTCTTTTTCCTCTTTTTCCCCTTTTTTGTAAGAAATAAGTAATAAACATAAAAATAAAATATTTTATATTTAAAACACAAGAAAAATTTTTACCTTCTTCCTTCCTCCATTATAAGCTTTTTTCCCACGGCATCGCATGTAAGCTCGTAGCGGCGATGCCCCCTCCTCTCACATATCCGAAAGAATTGTAGGCTGACTTCGTCACGGATAAGCTTATGCGCATCGCACCGTGGCGCGAATCAGCTCAGAAGGCGACTTGGTGCTCTCCGCCCCCTGATTAGCCTACGCGGGGGTACGCTGACGCGAGCGTGTGCCCGCCGCGTGGGGGCCTCGTCGCGCCGATTAGCTTATCTCCCTGCTTAAATTTGTCCTTTACACATTCTTGAAAATAATGTTAAGCGCCATTTTTTACCCTTTTCTTATTTGCTTTTGAAGTCTTGCACGGTAATCGCGTGTTCATTTCGCAAAATGGACGTGCGGTGGAAACATCCCTGGACATCGATCGTATGCGGTCCTACCGGTTACGGAAAGACGATTTTCGTAAAGACTTTCCTCCGATATTTATCTCTCATGTCCGACGTGCGTTTCGAGAGAGTTTTATTTTATTACGCGGAGTGGCAAGAAGCTTATCGACAATTACAATACGACGATCGTGAAAAAGAGATCGAAGAACAGAGTTGGCGACGCAGTAACGTTAAAGCGACGAAGAAGAAGAACGTAATTGAATTTCGGGAGGGATTATCTCGTTCGGAGGATTACTCGAACGATCCGCTCTCCCCGAAATTAGTGATAATCGATCTTATGAGAGAATCGTCGTCGAGCGACGCAATCATGGATTTTTCAGCAAAGGCAGCCATCACAAGAATCTCAGTGTTATTCTTATCTCGCAGAATCTCTTCCATCAGGGCCGTGGACAGCGTGATATATCTCTCAATGCAAATTACATCGTAGTTTTCAAAAATCCACGTGATCGCCCTCAAATTCGTCATTTAGCGCGTCAAGTATATGGTATCCCGACGATCCGAAATTTCTAGAAGAGGCATACTACGAAACAATCAACTCCGGACGAGTATCGATTTCGAGCGTGTATTTTTCCCGAAGATACGACTCATTACGTCTACGTGTTACGTAGATCATTTTCGAACGGATTCGTATAAAAGACGAGCACGTGCGATAGTACCAGTCAGTCGTACGTTTTTTCTCGCGATAAAGACGAGTGACGAGAAATCGCACAGTGCGACGAAAATCGCCACACATTCGATCGATAAAAGAAACGCATGTCTTCTCGCGGCCCTCTATCATCTGAACAAAAATCAACGCACGACCTTCCTACGCGCCGCGGACGAAAAACTTATTCGTTGTATCTGTGAATGTGTTTTTAATACACTCAAAGGTAACGTCTCGCTCGAACGTTGTGAAAAAAATCGGCTAACCAA